CAGACTCGATAACAATGATAATAGTAAGACACATTCAATCACTACAGTGTTCTGAGACATCCACTGCGTCTCGACTACTCACAACACTCAAACCAGTATTTGGTACTAAATATCCCAACAAAGGAAACACGGAAACGTTTGTACACAAGGCTTCCAGTCAACTCTCACCAAACACGTATGTAAGACGAAGCACGGGTAGGGAACAACATTACGGCACACTACTACCCCACTACTTCAAGGTCTCGCCAAAATTACACAGCATATAACTAGCAACTCAGGCTAGGTCGAGTCTAACTTCTCGTAAAATATTCAGGTTCGTAAGGCTACCACTAAACACGTCATTTACAACTGGCCACAGCTGAACTCAAAGATTTCTCTCAAATTATTTTTGCCGAAAATAAGGGTAGCAAAACTCACGTTTCGATTCAAAAATCATTTTAGTTTACGAAGAGTACTCAATGACCCCTGAGTGAATCTCAACCCCCCCACCCCACAAACCCCGCCATACTCACAGTGATGATGCAATACCCAAAAACAGAACTTTCCAGAAGGGATTCCTAAACATTTGAAGTTCCCAACAATGCAACGACCTAAAGGATAACATTTCCCACCCTCGTGCCTTACAACGCATGAACAAGGCCCTAACGAATAAAAATGATTCTAGCAGAGTGCCTCACTCACTCTTCACAACCTTACCACCTCGCTTGTGTTACCACTATCCAAACTGGACGACGGACACTTATGTCGAAGTGACCTGACTTAACCAAACATCCAACCTCTCGACTTCAATAAGAAACCACACCATTGCCTTATCAAGGTATTCACCTGGGATTTTCTAGGACTAATCCCCTTCTACACATCATCTAATAACAACCTACGAACCACACACACTAACACGTACTGCACTAAGCAGAACCTCCTTATTTTGCAAGCTATCTTACTCTCTTACCGTGTCCCTCTATGACCTATAGGGTCCACTCTTTACCCCGCATCTTAGTTGTCACTTATCCTGAGAGTACCATCAAGAGGCCCAGCCTCTGTGCCAAACCACTAGCCAATGCTACCGCTAGACAACCACCATGAACCAAACCCTGACATCGTCGCCTGCCGCCGACAAGGCTTTCACAGATTCACCATTCTAAATTTCTAGAGGAGTAAAAGTCCTCAACCTTCCCATTATCATCCCAAACCTTTCTTCGCAAAGACCAAACCACGGTGACTCTACCCATGGTTCACACCCAAACCATGGGTTATACACCCAACCAATCCTGTCGTTAGCATCACTTGACCTACCCGGTATTAAGGTACAAACCTATCATATTCTACCATCAAAAGGAGTCGGGGAACTCAAGAAACACCCATTACACCACCGCTCGGGATATAACACCAGCTGCTCACCACACACCACTCCCGATGCCAATAACCACTATCCTACATAGGGTCTCACACTCTCTCTAATCAAATTACCAGTCGATACGGATGCAAATTTGGCGACATTACCTATCATGAAGGGATAAGTCTCGTCCTAACGAAATTATGCACTATGACTCCGTAAAGTATCATGTTAAATATATATTACACCTAGTATTAATCACACACTTCACACCCTCTCGAGGAGTTCTCCTGACAAGAGACCAAAACCTCTACCACAAACATAAGGTCAAATGGGTAGCACCCATGAAGTTCTGGATACCCGGCGAGTACAACTATCCAAGCCCCAAAATAGCCCCACTATAGTCCTAATTAGGACACGCATCTCTCAATTTTTCCCAAACCAAATCACATGCATCTAAATGCATTATTACCAGAAATTTTTATGGTCTTACAACAACTTATTGTATTAATAAAACTTCAGAGCTACTACATGCTCCAATCCACCCAATCCAAAGGAGTTAACAAACAAAGCATATTTATATAGATAAGCAAACAGTTTTAGATGTTTCAACATTCCCAAAACACATTGGTTACACAACAGAACCCAATGATTACAAAATGATAATTCACCAATTACAAAATAGGTTAGTCAAAACAAAACCATCCCCTCGGTATTACCACCACTACCGTGCCTCACTGGACCGCCAAAGTTGGTCATCCCCAAACATATGATAACCTACGAGCTTACAAGACATGGACAAGAACTACTGGTGTGCCCCAATTGGCCACACCTGGAACAACTGCAAATTTCCCCAACTGGGACTTAGGAACTCGACTCACCAAAGGCCCTCGAGCTCTGGCATGACCGGCCCCCAAAACGGTATTGCTCCTGTCCAGTCAAATAAGGTTGGGCCCGACTAGGTTGCGAGGCTTCCAAAGAAGCTCCTGGCTGAGTACAAAAATGCCTGATATGACCTGGCTGATTACACACCCAACAAGTAAACGACTCACAAGCACGAGACTGGTTCAAAGTCTGAGCTGATGAAGGCCCCAACAACTGCTTCCCCACTGAACATTCAATCGACCCAAAACCTAGCTGGCTAGATGATTCTGGTGGTGCAACTACTGGTAGAACTGCCAACCCTGCTCTCTTCTTCTGGGGACACACCGAAGACTTGTGGCCTAACTGACCACATCTGAAACAGCTAGCAGATCTCCTACTCTAAGGCTGGCTTGAAACCCGAACCTCTCTGGACCCCTCAACAGAAGAGTCCGAAACCCCATACGAAAAAAAGGACAAAGTCTGGGACTGAACACACTTTCGCCTCCACCTCTTACTAGGCCTAGAATACCTATAAGCCGTAGGAGTTACCGAGATGGCCTCCTCCCTACTCCAACCAACATTCCCAACCATGGTCTCTTCCCTATTCTAGCCTATAGCTTGCACTACTGCCTCCACATGGGCCGCAGCCCCGACAAGCACACTATAGCTCCTATGCCAAGACCCAGCAATCCTTTCCCGAATACCATCACACAGCCTACCCTCAAACTCTGAACATCGCAGTTCCTCCGTCTCCACCAATTCCGGTGCAAACCTTGACAGGTTAGCAAACCATGCCTCAAACTGCACCAAAGGAGTAGTACCTTGGCGTAATTCCACAAACTGTTTCCGCAACCCTTCCCGTGCGGAAGGAGGGAAATCACAACTCCCTCGTCTAGTCATCCTAGTAAAAATAACAAACGTATTAGCACAACAGTAAAGGTGCCGAAACTATAATACTAGCGTCCTAACATGATGGACAGCTGTAATTCATTCCACATAAGCACATAAACAACTAAACACTTATGAATTTCATTTCCGGATAATGATAGTCCCGAGGCGTTACTAGCGTTCCGGTTAGAAACAGCATTGATCAGGTGCCTTTCCAACAGGACTCCCAGAAACCCAAGGATCCAATCAATATCCAAGAAACTACATTCCATACCCACACACATAACATTACATCTAAGTCTCTAACAAGCGAGACAAACCCATTGTGATACTAATCACTTCCCACGTACCCAAAGTATTCGAACCCGGTACGCTCTGATACCAAGTTGTCACGCCCTAAAAAAATACATAAAACCCATCACTTTAGACATAAGATGATATACGAGAAATAAATATCTTTCTACTAATCAGAGTAACTTTTACAGAAATATTACATTACTACTACCAACAAATTTCCCTACGGGCTTACAGCTTTCCAAGTTAACACTTGGTTACAAAAAGGGAAGAGTACTAACTCAATACATCTTAAGCCCTTGGCTTGAATTTACATATAATACATCAAAGAAAGTAAAACAACAAAAGCAGTATGTCTGCCTCTTGCCTCCCAAACTACGCCCTTGGAAGTGGCATGGTTCCTGTACCTGAAAATGATGTCCCATATAGGGTGAGCCACGGCCCAGTAGAAATACACTAAACCAATTATAAACAATGACTAAGATAACAGCATTCAATGGGTGGTCCACACTTATATCCCAATTTATACCGTGTTACAGTTTCACCTTCCGTTTCTTATCCAATTCTCAATTCATATAACTATGACTCAGAACCTGGTCAAACAACCGATGTGAGACAGACACTCATATTAAGCATTTACATTTTGCAATAGATAAGCATACTAGCTATATCAATACATCAACAGATAACCATATAAGCTGTACCAATACATCAACAAATAAGCATATTAGTTGTATCTGCACTTCATTAGATAAGCATATGAGCTGTATCTGCACTTCAATAGATAAGCATATAAGTTGTATCTACATAACGCAACTTCCGGTTTAGAGGTCCAGCCCCTTTCTTCCAATAAATCTTCCGGTTTAGAGGTCCAGCCCCTTTCTTCCAATAAACCGTCCGGTTTAGAGGTCCAGCCCCTTTCTTCCAATAAACCGTGGAGTACAGCCCCTTTCTCCTCCCACACAATACAATGTATATAAACAATTATCATATACAAATTCAACCTATCAATACAACATTTTGATGTATTAAACCAATTGCCATGTTCATTAGCATACTCAATAGATTAGCTTTAGTTTGCCTAATCATCATACATTGCCTACAACAATCGAGACTATCCTCCACCGATAGTCCAATACAGTTATTTCTAAATAAGAAATAAATGCACCAATTTGATCTATTATCAACAGTTTAACTAGGTGAGCGATAAGTGAGTCCAACTACACCCTTTAACCCCATATCTTTCTAATTTGAATATTTCCTATTCAATTTCTCAATTCCCTAAATTTCTTGTACAAATTAATTTATCAATGTAATTAGGGCTTTACCCTTAATCTACATAACAACACTAAGGTTCCATTTTCTTCAATAGTTCAACATTAGCCTCATTCCTCTTTATCAAACATGCATATAGGTTTACATATAACAAATCCCCATCTTTTGTAAAATTACACAAAGACCTAAACTTTCTCAAAAATACCCAACAACCCCCAACATATCAAAATGCTAAAATTCAAAGACAAAACTCATAAGGAGGAGTAAGATATTCCTACCTCAAATTCGGAGCTCAAAGGGAGAAGATGACGAAACCCAAAGTGCTCCAAAACTCAATATGCTCGGATCAAAACGTAGCCCTCGACGATCAACACAACTTTTGTAAAGGCCAAAGGGTAGGAGAACAATCTAACTAGATCAATCCTAAGAGAGAAGTTGAGTTTTAGTGAGGGAAGCTCTTGAATAGCTTTTTCGAAAAAGTAAGAGAGAGAAAGGATGTTGAAAAGTGATGCAAGAATGCCCAGCTGCCAACTGATATATGCATGATCCGCTCGAGCGTAGAATAGAACGCTCGAGCGTCAAGCACAAAAACTGGACCCGCTCGAGCGCAAAAAGGCCTGCTCGAGCGCCAAGACACAAGAACAAAAAGTATCCGCTCGAGCTCGAAAACCAGTTCGCTCGAGCGTTGATTACCCCCTCTCAGAACTTTCGCAGACAATGTACACCCCGCTCGAGCGTAAGGAAACCCGCTCGAGCGTGAAAAACACATCTGCAGAAGTTTTACTGAGGCACCGATACTGGAAGTGTGAGAACTCCGCTCGAGCGTGATATGGTCCGCTCGAGCGTACAGCCAAAAATCCACCTTCCGCTCGAGCGCAAAGGGACCCGCTCGAGCGTACCACCAAAACTCTGGGCAACAAGGGAAAGGGACTAAGGCTCAACCAGCCTGTTCAAAACACGCCCAACACATCCTGAAACTCAGACAAACTGGATTTAAAGGATGACAACAGGATATACAACCACCAACTCCACGGAACCTAAGACCGGTACACTGCACATAAAGGGGACAGACCCGAGATCGCTATATACACATTTTCCTGAAAAAGGGACATTACATAACACAAATTTTTAGCTGATTATGACAAGAACATAACTGAGTCACATAAAAACATGTTTTTAATGTAGAACATTGACATTCAAATGTGTTCACCAATCCAATAGCTGGAACCAAAAAAAAAAAAAGAATCTCCACATAATATGTTTTACTCCAAGACTCAAAAATTGGATTGGTCTTATTCTAAGTTAAAAAGCAGAACATCATTACAGAGCATATCAATCTTTTTTTTTATCCAACTTCGATTCCTCCAAGTTGCATCATCAGAACTGTTTTAATTCAAAATCCTGAAATGTCAAAAACAATTCTGAGTGTTTCACTTCCAATTTTAGCAATAAAAGAACTCTATAAGACCAGCAAACTAATGTAAAAAGTTACCTGTAAAAGTTGAAAGTTGAAGCTAAGAGGGTTACACATTTACTTCAACATCATGGTAAAAGATCATCAACATCTTAGACATTCCTGAATGATCTCCGATTGCTCCATCCTGGACATTTTTGGACATCCAAGATTGATAGTTATTTAAAAGCCATGCAAGAAGACCAAACCATGTGTTCATTGTCATTGACTAGAAAGAAAACGATTGAGAGTTGGAAAACATGATGTACAATGACCTTAAAATAGTATACTACAACTTAGGAAAATTAACTTCTAAATTAGTGAAATATGAAGTAATAAAAAAATTAATTTATAAATAAAATATTAAAAAAAAAACTTATGGAAAGGATAAAACTAAAAAATGTAAGAAATCCAGCACTGATGTAACTCAGCAGAACACAAGCTTGGTCAAATGCACAAACACAACACCAAGTAAAATGCACTCAACAGCAAATTTATGCAAACTTGTAGTACTTTTTACCAAAAAAATAAAAAGGTAGAGAAGGTTTTGGTTGTCATCAATAGTCCTTTAAACAAGTTCTAACAGGGAAGAATTCAACTTGCAGGCATAACAAGAATTGTGCAAACCATTAACCATTAGAAGTATTGAACTTCAAACACAAATAACAAACATATTCATCAAAATGAATTATAATTCTCGAATTATGTAAGTTCCTTTCAAGAAAAAAATATATTGTTTAGGATAATTACGGCTGCGTTTGGTTCTCTTTTGGAATTATGATTCCAATCAAAAAATTTCAAAACTCTTTCAAAAATTCATATTTTCAAAACTCATAACTCAAAATACGACTCCACACTCAAATCATGATTCCAAAAATAATATTAAAAAATAAAATAAATTTTTTTGAAATTTTTTTCTTTTAAAAAAGAGTTTTTGAAATAGTTTGATTTTGAGTTTTGAAAAGAATTTTGAATTGAGTTTTGAGTAAAAACATGTTTCGAAAAAAGATTTTGGTTAGAAATATGTGTAGTTCTCTTTTAGAATTACAATTCTAATTAGAAATTTTCAAAAATCTTTTCAAAACTCATATAGTCTTAACCAAATATACAACTCAAAACTCAATTCAAAAATTATTTTCAAAACTCATAATCAAACACAAACTTAAAAAAATACGAACTTATGTTAAATATATTTTTAAATATTTTAATTTTTTTTGTTATGCGTTTGGTTACGATTTGAGTGTGGAATTGTATTTTAAGTCTAAAATATTAAAATTGAAAAAAATAAAATATTCACAAAATAAAATAAAATATTTAAAATAAAAATTATATATTTAAAATAAAATTTTCTTAAATATTTTTTAATATTTAAAAAAAATAAATCCAAAAAATTTAAAAATACAACTCAAAATTCAAAAACTCAAAACTCAAAATATAACTCAAAAAAAATTTTCAAAATTTAAAAACACTTTTTAAAACTCATAACTAAATAAATTTTCTCTTTTCAAAACTTAACTCATAATCCCACAGTTAAATCATAATTTCACAATCAAATCATTATTCCAAAACTAAACCAAACGTAGCCTCCGTTTCTTCCTTAATAAATGATTCGCAAACGTAAAATACATCAAAAACAATGTGTTAATGACATTTATGAAATTATGAAGACAATGATGGGTGTTTTGAATTGACAAGAAGCAACCGCAATAATCCACATCATTATTAATATTATTATTTGTCTATCATTACTCAAAACCAACCTTATGATCAATATAGACATGCAAAAACACAAAAGAGAAAAGTTAGGGATCATGAAATTTTTTTCATGAAAATGATCATGAAAGAATTATGATCATTGGATTACCTTGATTAGTGTGTGGTGCTTTATTCTAAGTGTAATCCAAAAGTCACAAACCTTTCATGATTATTTTCATGAAAGGTTTTTCATGATACCTAGCATGACTGAACACAAAAAGAAAATAGAACTATTAGCTTGTAAAATGAATGTGGAAGTACGTACAGTGTACGAGGTTCAGAATCCATTGCTGGACGAAGAGTGAGTTGCTCAAAGATCACTTCACCATCCATGTGTATAACATGGACACAAGCAATCTTATGCCAGTCCTGTCCTTCCCCGTGGAGGTAACGAGGTTTTAGAATTGGACGGCCAAACAATTCCAGCATAAAGAGAGAGGTGGGAAGCCCCTCTTCGACCAAGGATTGGAGCTTAGGGCATTTCACAATCTTCATGTATTTGAGAGAGCCAAGGACTTGAAGGCCCCTGTTGTTCAATGATTTGAGATTTGGTAGATATTCAATCCAGAGTGACATAAGAGTCAAGGGCAACAACCCCTCCTCCGGAAAGGACTCCACCCCATCTTCCCGAAAGGACTCCCCCCACTCCATGACATATTTACCTGCTAATGTGAAGTGTCGAAGAGAAGGGAGTCTTTGCAAATCCCATTCTCTTCGGCGAGCGATAAGTTTGCTGCAATTTGTTATTTCAAGTGAATGTAAGCTGGCGGGAAGCCCTCCTTCCGGAAAAGACTCAATTTCTGGACAACCATATAATTCTAGTGATTATGGGAAGAGAGTATGCATTCCTTCAGGCAGCGACTTGAGCTTCTCACAATGCCAGATCCTAAAGTCAGTCAGATTGAGTCCGGGTAGTCCTCCTCGGAGAAAAGATATCAGATTAGAGAACCCATTTAAGAAAAGTGACTCGAGAGATGTCAAATTTTGAAGCCCAAGCATGTTTAGATCTGTAATACTGTTGAAATTTGTACAAAGCTGGATTTCTAGAGATTGAAGCTTTGGAAAGAATCCAAGCCACATGGGTTTGAGAGCATCACATGATGATAAGAACAAAGTTTCAAGGGATTTGTAGCAGTTCTCCATATCCTTGGATCTGGGGAACACTAGTTTCGGAAGGCATGTAAGTATCGGCGGCAAAGAATGTAGAACTTCACAATAGCTAATTGAAAGGTATGTAAGCATGGGCGGAAACCCTGTATCTGGGAATGACAATAGGCTTGGACAACTCTCTACCCTAAGGCCATGTTTGTTTGGGTGGACATGAGCTTGGGATTGGACTAATAGTCCAATAAAATTATTAATCCGATATTTGGTTAAACAATTGAAGTACGGACTAATTATTTTAAACTTGACTATTAGTTAAGATAGGATACATAATCCAACGGATTCGTAATCCCAGGACTATTAGTCATGGGAATGATAATCCAGTCCGTCCAAACAAACATGGCCTAAACTCCTTCAGATTTGTTAAAGTGCACAGCTGGGGTGTCAATTCCTTCAAATTAGGCATATCTAAAATATCTAATTTTGTAAGGGAAGACAAACCTCGACACCCCAATTCTACCCCATCACATCCTTTCAATACTAATTCACTTGTGCCTGCGCCACAAATATTCGAAAGTTGGGACAAAAGTCTTGAGCATTCGCGAATCTCAAGTCTCACACAAGATGGAATGTGTTTGGGTAAGCCTCCAATCAGCTTTGGACATTTGATTACTTGAAGCTCTTTAAGCTTAGAGAACTCTCCAGATTCTAATATATACCAGTCCACCCACTCCAACATTTCTTTAAATCTAAGGGTCTCTAGAGATTGAAATGGTTTGCTTAAAGAACTATCTCCATAGAATTCACGGCCTACCTTTGTTATTCCTTGCATCCTTGAAATTTTAAGGTCTTTCAAAGAGGGCAACTGACCAAACGGTGGCAAGGACAAGCAATACTCACAATTGTCAAGAGACAAACGCACCATATTACAAAATGATTCATCTCCCAACCAATTTGGAAATCTTGTGCCACCAAAGTTTTTAATCTCAAGGCATTTCAAGTTTGTATGAGGTTTTAGCTTGTCAAGAACATCTCTCTCATTCAGTGAATCATTGGTACTGCTACTCCATTCGAGTACCAGTTCTTCAAGGTACATTTTCTCCTCCAATTTTGCCTCCATTGCACCCATGCCATTAGTTACATTTTGCAGACTTGAAATGGAGAGCCTCCTTTGAAGATGACGTAAGTGCTTCAACTCTTCAATACCTAACCCCTTGGACTTGCCCACCACAAAGGCAGTTAAAAGTTGAAGGCCTTTTAATTGACTCATTTGCATTGCCATCTCCTGTAAATTAGTTCCAGTAATATCAAGATAGCGCAACTGAATTAGTTTTTGAAGATTTACCGGCAAGGTAGTGAGCTGATAACAATCATAGAGCAATAGTGTTTCTAAATTATACATGGTACAAACTAATTCAGGCAATTGTTTGATTTCTGTGTAAGAAAGATCCAAATACCATAGATGTAGTAAATTTCCAATTGAATGAGGCAATTCCATAATCTTATAACATGGCAAAGACAACACCCGTAAGCATGTTAGGTTCGGCAAAATATCATCCAAAACCTTTTTGCTCAACCACGAATTGTCCAACCGCCAATAAGAATAGGGATTTAGTGTTAGGAAAGTCCTTAAAAACTTAGCATCATTAATTAGCTTGTATTTTTCAAAGCCATCAAATTTGCCTCTAACACATGAGAAATGATGTACCCTTTCAGAAATATGATGTGTGTTGTCGTCCTCTAACATATAACAGAAATCTCTAGACACAGCTTAAGCAAAATCATTAACAAGATCATGCATGACAAAACAATATTTATTGGCATTTGATCGTTGAAAAAATGACCTTGATTGCAATTCATAGAAGCACTCATAACCTACCTCTTCCCTTGTTTTATTACTTCTGGGTTGCTCAACAAAACCTTCAGCCATCCACATTAGGACTAATCCCTCCATTTGAAATTCATAATCTTTTGGAAATATAGAACAATAAGCAAAGCATCTCTTTAAATGCGAAGGGAGGTAATGATAGCTCAATTTTAAGGCTAGAAGAATATTGCTTTTCTCCTTTGGCAAATCCCATATTCCACTTTTCAATATATTATTCCAATCCTCAACATCCCGTTTAGAGAGCAAAAGACCGGCTAATGTTTTTGCTGCTAGAGGCAAACCTTTACACTTTTTCACAATCTGTTTGCCAATCCTTTCAAGCTTTGGATGTGCACCACAATCTCCCTTCTCAAAAGCATGTTTGGCAAACAATTTCCAGCAATCTTCATCCGATAATTGCTGCAAACGATGAATAGGAACTGTTTGCATAATAGATGAAACGCTCTCATTGCGCGTTGTAACAATGACCCTGCTCCCATGTCCTCCATATCCAAAAGGACTCCTCAAGATATCCCAGTTATCATAGTTCTCATTCCAAACATCGTCTAGAATGAAAAGAAATTTCTTCCCACTCAAGCATTCCTTGAGCTTGACTTGAAGCTGATTAAGGTCCTTTGTACTAAGGTCCATTTTATCAGAACCCTGCGGAATGACTGCCTCAAGAATTGTTCTTGTAACCCTTACAACATCGAATTCATCAGAGACACAAACCCATGCTTTCATATCAAAGTGATCATCCACTCTGCCATCATTGTATAAAAATTGAGCAAGGGTGGTCTTGCCAACCCCACCCATCCCCACTATCGCAATCACATCTATCTTCTGATTACCACCACTTGCCTCATCTGAGAGCAGCAACTTAATTACATCCTCCTTGTCATTATCTCTTCCACAAACACCAGATTCATCAACCAAAGAAGTTGTTGGCAATCCGTGATACAATTTTTGCCCAGCAACTTCTCTCAAACCGAGGACATCTTTTTCTTTCGCAAAATATTCTAAGCTAGCAATGATCTGCTCTATCTTGGACACTATATCTGCATCAAATGAACTAGAAGAAGAAATCAAGGTGGGACTTCGTACCTGGTCTGACCCGCTATGGTACTTGGCTTCAGACTTGCATCGCAAAGCTTCGGTAGCAATCTCATCTAGTAAATCATCTGCATGATACACAGCAACTTTAAGTTCATCCACCCAGTCTTTCACAGCAGGGTTAGTGATCTGCTTGTACTCTGCATCATCGAGCACAACATTAAGTCCCAGCAATGTTAACTTGAGCTTCCTGAGGAGTTTATCATCATGCTTTTGAGCACGGAAAAAGTTGACGAACTCGCGAGAAGCCAAACGGTCAAACAGCACTTGAAGGGTGGCGGACAGAAATGCTCCTCCAACCAAGGCGGCAGCCATGTTGTTTTTTCTTTTAGTTGCAGAGGTAGAAACAGAGAATAGGAAAATGAAGGAAATAGATTGTAGAGTGAAAAGAGGAGAAGCCAAGATTGATTTGCTCTGGGAAAGACAAAATTATTTGATGAGATCACATCACTAGTTGGACCAAGACTTTGCCACAGCCCCTTCTAGTCCCCCTGGGTCCACCGTTGCAAGCGGTTGCTGTGTGTCGTTTCTGAGTTCGGATCCTCTCCTTGAGAAGGTAGTTAGCTTCCCTACTTGAA